GCATATCAGGCAGGTGGCCTTCCTGACCATCTCTGGGCTCCAACCTGAGGAGGAGGCCGATTATTACTGCTCAGTGTGGGACAGCAGCCTCAGAGCTCACACAGTGCTGCAGACACAAACCCTGAGCTTCCCCAGCCTCACCCAGCACCTGGGGGAACTCACAGAGCACTGTTTAACTGGCCCATGAAAAGACAAGGGCTGGGTTCCAACTGACAATAGCGTGTGCTATTCAGGAGCATTAAAAATAATATGAGATAGAAAAAAAGAAATGAGTTAAAATGACTGGACCTACACAATCGGTAAATGTATATTTATCATTGTGAATATATTTGTGACAACTTAAAGATATATACATTCACACACAGTAAAAATTGGTAAAAAAGATTACAAGGTTTAACTAAGGGAATATATTTATTTCCAGATTTTTCTTTTCTATTCCAATTGGAGATGCTAGATTCACATGCTCGGGTCATCAGCCACCAGCCTGCCTTCTTCTTCTGCCCTTGGCACATGCCCTGATATCTGATTCTGGGGATCTTTCTTCCTTTCTGCCATGGATACCGCTTGACATCCTACAGATCCAAACTTATGCATCAGACTTTTTTGAGGCTTCTTTGGCCCAACTTCCCTCTGCTCCTCAACATGCATAAAGGGTAATTTCCCATGTGTGTGCTCCTGTTGCACCCTTTAACTGCCCTTTCACATATGTGTGCAGTGTCTGGAAACAGCAGGCAAAGTTGGAGCTGTAGGGGTACAGTTGACAGAGACTGACATTTAAAAAAATTGATATTTTTCCAACGAAATAAAAATCCAGATGTGAAAGCATCACTGTTCCAGTGGCGGATCTTCTGAGACATCTACTCACTCTGTTATCTGAGGTAATGACACCAGGAAAAAATTACAGTACAAAAAGAACATGTGCTAAGTGTTATCACAGTGACCAGAGGATGTAGCCCCTGTGGCCAGCAGGGGGCGCTTGTGATGTCCAGAGAGCGCAGGTGTGCTAGACAGCTGATAAACCACTCAGCTTGCTCGAGAGTATTTGGGTAAACTGTGTTCTCACTAATGTGTGACTTTTCTTCACCTGTGATGCCTCCTTATCACCCTATGAGATCCTAGGTCTGGCTCTCCCATTGCTTCAGATTTGAGTCAGATCCTTTTCTTCTAGAGTCTTTGCCCAAATCTGGTCCAGGAAGGACTGATAGACAGTGAGGATCCAGAAGGTGGATAGAGTAAGTCTGTTCCTAGGAGAGTCTGGCTAGAGAAGCAAACACAGCTTGTGGGCATAATACCCACCATGGACCTTCTGGAGACAGAGCTCTGAGGCGTTTCCAACGTGCCCCAGAGCATTTTCCCCTCAGCCTTTTATAAATGGGGCATTTTCCAGGGGTTTAGGTGAAGGGGCTCCCCGGGGTCAGACGGGTTCTACCTTTATCCTCTGGTCTATAAGAAGCAGTCCTCTGTTACTAGACTCACACACCTCTGTCTCAGTATATTGGTCACTTGGTTAGAAGGTCACCACCTTCTGCAATGGAAGCCTTAGAAATGTAAGCAATTTTGATGCAGCCTTGCATCAACAGCTGTCATTCTGAAGCGCTGTAAATGTGATTGATGTTTGTTGTTCCCTGGACTATGGCCTGAGGGGAAAGACTGATTACTACTGCAGACCTGGAATAATAGCCTTGCACTACGATCTTGGCCTTGGGAAAGTGGGCCAAGGCATCCCCTCTGCACCCTTTGCTCAGTCATTTACTTCCCTATCACAACATGTGACCAACACTAGCTCACTGGGGATATTTCTGCTGTCACTTCTGCCACCAGCACCTGAAGAACTAAAGTATTTGGGTCTTTAGAAATGTCTACTTGTGTGGTCCCATCAAAGCTTAGACCTAATCTTTTTTTTTGGCCGTGCCATGCGGCTTGCAGGATCTTAGTTACCCTGACCAGGGATTGAACCCGGGCCACGGCAGTGAAAATGCCAACTTCTAACCACTGGACCGCCAGGGAATTCCTGATTACTCTTTTTAAATTGCATTGTCCATGGTTACAGAACAATGTTGAATAATAATGGAGGTAATGGGCAACTTTACCTTTTCCTGATCTTAGTGGAAGGATTAAGTGAGATGCTGACTTTAAGACTAAATTATACATGTGTGCAAGAGAGAGCGTATTACCATATTATAAATGTATCTGTCTGTTTTTATTTTCTTAACTGGTTTTTCTTAGGAAAAGTTGTTAAATTTGGTGAAAGTCTCTTTCAGTATCTATTGAGACAATCTGATCTTATCTTTTGATCTATTATTATGGCATATTATATTAAAAGATTTCTTAATATTGATCCAAACTTTCATTTCTGGAATAAATTCCAGTTGGTAATGGCATTTCAGTTTATTAATCTGGTATTACATTCAATTTGTTAAGATTTTACTTAGAAATTTTATATCCATATTTAATGATATTGATCTGTAACTGTCCTCTTTTTGTATTTCTTTGTCAGGTTTAAGTAGCAGTGTTATAAAGCTTTCTATGAGAACTAGGAAATTTTCCCTCTTTTCCAGTGCTTTGGAAAAAATTATGAAGCAAACAAATTGAAATCATCTGATCTTTGAAGATTTGTTAGAAGTTTTCTATTAAGCTACGTGGGCCTCATGTCTTTCTGTGGAGTAGTGCCAAAACAACATTCTCTATTTTTTTCCTAAGGAAAGTAGTCTGTTTAGATGTTTTATCTTTAATGGGACCAACTTTGCATTTTCCAAGGATGTATACATCTCATCTAGTTTTTTTTTCAATGGAAGTTATCTCTTTAGGATTTTTTTCATTTTCATTTTTCAATATTTTCCACATATTTGACTTTATACATTTTCATTGAAAAAGTTAGTAAGTGGTTTTCCTATTCTGCCATTTAAAAAAAGATTTTGATGTGCCAGTTAGATTTACTATTTTTTATCCTCTACCCCATAACCTGTTACTTTTCTTGTGATGGGGAGATGGGTTGTTTCTCACTTGTCTTTTTAATTTTCTTGTACCTGGTAGAACTCTAAATTTCTTCCCCTTGCTTGTGTTTTCCTTCACAAGATGGTTCCCACAGAGCTCTCCAGCCTTCCTTTTAAGGAGGAGATGGAATCACCCCAAATGTCCATTGACAGATGAATGATAAACTAAGTATGGTATATATACATACATCAGAATATTATTCAGCCTTAAAAAGAAAGGAAATCCTGTCACATGCTACAACGTGGATGAGTAGAGGATATTATGATTAGTGATTTAGGCAGTTATAAAAAGACAAAGACTGTGTGAATCTACTTATATGAAATATTTAAAGTAGTCAGATTCATAGAAACAGTAGAATTGCAGTTGGGGGAGTTGAGGGGATAGAGAGATGGAGAATTATTGTTTAATGAATATAGAGTTTCAGTTTTTTAAGATGAAAATTTCTGGAGATCTGTCATATAACAATGTCAATATACCCAACACTATTGAACTGCACACTTAAAAATGGTTAAGACAGTGAGTTTTATATTATTTGTTTTTAGCAAAATTTTTTTAAAAAGAAGCTGGGCCAGAGATGAAGGGTGCTGCTGAAGCATAGGCATGGAGTATGTAATGGAAGTCAGGGTGTGTGAACACTGATAGGAGGTAATACCATCTACATTTTCACTCACCTTGTGTGGCAGAATAGCATGTCCATCCCCTCAGGGTATTGGCAACAAGCCACAGCTGTGGTGACACTGGCTATGACCATGCCACCAAAGGAAGTCATAGGTGTTTTCATAAGACAACATAGTGGCCATAGAATCTCCAAATACCATTTAACCTCATCCTACTTCAGAATCACCAACTCTAATAATATAATTTCCTTAATAGAAAGGCCCAAATTGGGCTTAAACTCTTCAACATAAAAATAAAAGTAGTAATACCCAACTGGTCCACAAAATGAGAAACTAAAATGTATATGGACTCTTCTTTCTACCCTACCCAGGTATCCAATTGATCACTAACTTTGTAGATTCTCTCTCCAAAGCTCTTTCAAATTCATCAGGTCCTGTTGACTTTCCATTCTAATGTCTTATTTGAAACCTTCATTGCACTTATTGATTATGGGCTATGATTGAATTGACCCCTGATTGACACCTGGCCCCTCCCCTCACTGCATCCTCAGATTCCTTCTCCTTTCCAGGCATCTGGCATCTTCTGATGGTGAAGTCTGGTCCCAATTCCAAGATTCCTAGTTCTTCTTGCCTGAATAGCTGGGCTCCTTTCAGTGAATGGCTCAGAATCTCACCCCGCATGGTCCCTCCTGGAGAGGGGAGTGTCCTTGCTTCCATTTCCTTCCAAACAGAGCTCATTCTGGTGATATTTATCACCTCCTTTAACACAAAGTGACTCTAAATGTCTGGACCAGAGTAGTGGCCCTTGGTGCATCTAGAGAGATGTGAAGGTTTAAATGTATTTTGATCATAGCACGCTGCACAGACACACCCTGGACTGACCGCTGGAATTGTGAGGGGTGCAGATTGGGGAAGGCAGGAGTCCTGAGCAACAGCACCTGCCCAGGGTCGGCATGTGTCCTGCATCCACCAGAGGGCGCTGTGTCCTATGCACCTGCTTGATGCTCTCCAGTTTCTCAGCTGATTCCCTCCCCTCTTGCAGGTGTTCCTGTGACCTCACTGGGGTGAATAACACCTCCCTCCTACAGTCTCTCTTCTTATCAAGTGGAGCCAAGGCTAAGGTTGAAGGAGGGATTTGAACAGCCTCCAGAAAGGGGAATATTTGCATGGAGACCTCCTACCCTCAGGAACAGGGTAACATATAAGAAGGGTTGGTGGGCTCAGGCCTGGCTGTGAGGCTCAGAAAGCAGAGCCTGGGGGTGTCTTCACCATGGCCTGGGCTCTTCTCCTCCTCACTCTCTTCGCTCACTGCACAGGTGGACGCCTGCAGGGAATTCTGGGAGGGCTCCTGTTTGTCACCTGGGAGGATGACCTCTCCCCCCTCCCTAGGAATGGGATCTGTCCTATCCTCACTGGGTCTTGGGCAGAGGTGGTGTTGACTCAGCCCCGCTCTGTGTCGGGGTCTCTGGAGCAGAAGGTCACTATCTCTTGCACCCGCAGCAGTGGTAACATTGGGAGTTACTATGTGCACAGCACCCGGGCAGTGCACCCACCACCGTAATCTACAAGGATGACCAAAGACCCTCCGGAGTTCCCAGTCATTTCTTTGGCTCCATTGACACTTCCTCCAGTGTTGCCTACCTGACCATCTCTGGGCTGCAGCCTGAGGACAAGGCCAACTACTACTGTCAGTCTGGTTATGACAGCAACAAGGACACAGCGCTCCAGACCCATGGAGAAGTGAGATCAAAATTCCCTAGAGCCTCCCTGTCCTGGGTCTGCCCTTGACCCATCCCCACCAGGGAGGGCTGAGTTTTTCCCTGTGCTCTTCTTGAAGGCTCAAGCTGGAATTTTCATGAGTTCCTCTCTTTTCTTTCCAAATTATAATTTTTTCCTCTCATGTCTTGATAGATGATCTCATAATCCTTTGCAATCACTGCATGGAGGAGATTTAGTTCAAATCAGGGTTTCTGAACCTCGGTATTCCTTGTGGAGGGGCTGTTCTGTGTATTGAGGACATTTAGAAGCATCCTTGGGCCCCACACATCAGATGCGAGTAACAACCTACTCTCCATATTGTGACACACAAAAAGCCTCCAGCCATTTTCAAATGTCCCATAGGAGGGCAAAGTCACCCCAGTTTGAGAACTACAGGTTTTAAAAGAGCATGATCTCAGCTATTAGGAAGGCTTTGGCTTTGAATCCTGTTTATACCATCAGCTGGATGTATGGATGTATCATCGCCCTATGCTTCTGTTTTCCCAACTTAGGCAAAACAATAACTCAAATGATTGTTTTGATGGATGAATAACATTCTAAGCATCATGAGATCAGAGAACCTATGACCCAATCATATGGAATCTCCTTCCAACTGGAGTGTGATTTTTGGCCAGATTAGGTGTGTGATTAATATTTTAAAACTTTTTACAAAGCACATGAAAATCTCTCTTCATTTATTCCCACAGGGAGCATTTTTCACGCATGGGATACAAAGATGAAGACATGAAAAGGTCCAGTACTCTTAACAGTTTACATTTTAAGATGGGTATGAGGAAACAGACGAGGACAGCAGCAAAGATGGGTGTATTAAAATGTCCTTTCTTTGGGCTTCCCTGGTGGCACAGTGGTTGACAGTCAGCCTGCCACTGCAGGGGACGCGGGTTCGTGCCCTGGTCCGCGAGGATCCCACATGCCACGGAGCGGCTGGGCTCACCAGAGCGGCTGGGCCCGTGAGCCATGGCCGCTAAGCCTACGCATCTGGAGGCTGTGCTCTGCAACGGGAGAGGCCACAGCAGTGGGAGGTCCACGTACTGCAAAAAAAAAAAAGAAAAAATAATGTCCTTTCTTTTACCAGAGTGTTTAGGTTCAAATTTTGGCTCTGGTTCTATTCGGTTCTCTTCAAATTTTGGTCCTTGGACTTCCACTGGACTATATGTTCAGTACATATAGTCTCCACTAGCAGAATGTGGGTATTTATATTTCAATTTAAGTTAATTAAAATTAAGTAAAAATTTAAATTCTATTTCTCAGTCACACTTGCTGCACTTCAACTGCTCAATGGTTGCATGTGCCTCATGGCTACCATTTTTGAGAGTGCAGGTATAGAACATTTCTACCATGGCAGGAAGTTCTACTGGACAGTGCTGACTTGAACAATTCACTTGTCACTCAGGGAGACAGGCAGCCCATTTAGTAAAAAGTATTCTTGTGAAAACTCTTCTGTGTGCTGTGAGCCATGGTTCTTTTGGATACAACTCTAGGGTATCATGGTTTTTTTTGCGGTACGCGGGCCTCTCACTGCCGTGGCCTCTCCCGCTGCAGAGCACAGGCTCCGGATGCGCAGGCTCAGCGGCCATGGCTCACGGGCCCAGCCGCTCCACGGCACGTGGGATCTTCCCAGACCGGGGCACGAACCCGTGTCCCCTGCATCGGCAGGTGGACTCTCAACCACTGTGCCACCAGGGAAGCCCGGGTGTCATTTTTTATGTGCATGAATTTTAACCAGGGAGTGACAATAATAAAAAGAGTAAAAGAGAGATCTGGATATGCAGACTGAAAAGGCTCCCGACCATCCTGGCAAGTATCCTATGGGGGACAGGTGAGATTTCTAATGCTCCTGCTGGCCTTTAGGGTATGCTCCACCCTGTGTCAATGTGGGGCCTTTAAGATCCCAGATTTGTGTCTTGTGTGGACTGATCTGGTGTTGGTAGCCGATCTCCAAGATGCTCTTAATGGTCACTGACTCCTGGTATTCTTGCCCTCGTACATACTGATTAGAGATGACCTGTGAAACTAATGGAATATTGAGGAAATGACCGTGTATGACTTTCAACGCTACATCATAAAGGACTTCCATTGTGCTGTCTTAGATCACTCACTCTGGGGAAGGCAGTTGCCATGCTGTGAAGACTCTCAAGGAGCCCTATGGGGAGGTTCACGTGTCAAGGGTCTGAGACCTTGTGCAACCAGCCTTGTGACTCAGCCAAACTGGAAGCTGGTCCACCAGCCCCAGTCAAGCCTTTCTATGACCATCACCTGGTCAAAATCTTGACTGTAACCTAACGAACGAACTTGAGCCAGAAACGCCCTTCCAGGCTGTTGCCAACTCCCTGATTCTCAGAAACTGTGGAATCATACATGTTGTTGTTCTTAGCTTCTAATTTTGGAGAAATTTGATGTGAGGAAATAGATAATGAATACATTAAGAGATGGACATGGCGATGTGGAGAGGGTGTAGGCATTGGTGGGGTTAAGCCTTAATGTCTACTGTTAGTGAAATGTGATGAGACCACACTGGACTCCCTCGCTGCATATGATGTCAATGGATTGCCTAATGGCTTTTTCTTATAGCCCATGGCTTCATTATAAATGTCCCATATGAATTATGCACAACCATTATGCCTTGTCAAGCTTCTTTGAGTAAATCTTTTTTTTTTTTTTGCGGTACGCAGGCTTCTCACTGTTGGGGCCTCTCCCGTTGCGGAGCACAGGCTCCGGACGCGCAGGCTCAGCGGCCATGGCTCATGGGCCCAGCCGCTCTGCGGCATGTGGGATCTTCCCGGACCGGGGCACGAACCTGTGTCCCCTGCATCGGCAGGCGGACTCTCAACCACTGCGCCACCAGGGAAGCCCCTTTGGGTAAATCTTTGACTATAAGATAATCGAAGGACACGGGCCTCTTCCACACTTTGATATTTCAGTATTGAATTCCTTAAAACAAGGTACCTGACCCTCTTTATTATCTTTATTTTTCACTCCCCCACCTTTATCAGATGTAAAGATTTATGTAGACAGTCATCTTATGTATTCCTTTGAATAATAAGAAGAATCTGTGTACATTTCTGCCCCTTAACTAAAAGATAGAGATGTTGCTTTAACAAGAGGGGTCACCCAATGGTAAAGATGAAAAAAAAATATATATAGCAGGTCCGAATTCAGTTGAGCTAGGGAGTGAAGTGAACCTCCCAAACTAGATTTTAGAAGAGACTCTCATCTTTTTGTCTACCTAATCAGGAGAGAGTCAAGTCCTGGATTTTGATGGAATATGTCCATAATAGGAGGAAAAAACAACACTTTAGAGCTCATCAGCCAATATGGCATTGAAGACCCTCTTCAAGCCAGGAGAGCAAAGGAAGAGGAAGGAAGAGAGAGCCTCTGGTGTTGGCAATCTTACCACAAAGACAATGGTGAGTTTCACCTCGTGAACATCCGGGGGCCTCACGAAGTGAACTGATGAAGAACATTAGTATCTTCTGTTGACAAAGGCTGGTGTTGCCCCTGGGAACATCTTCACCTCTCTGTTCTCTCTGTCTCTTGTCTCAGCCACAGCGGCCTTCTTTCAACTCCCTCACATCTGGCACACTACTGGCTTGTTCCATTCTTTTCATAAATATTTCTGGAATGGATGGAACCATTTTTCTAAGTGAGAAGTAGCCATGATGCTGATCTTTTAGGGTCCTTTGTCCAGACTGTGCTGACTCACTCACAGTCAGCACAGTGTAGGAATGTTGGGAAGAACATCTTCTGTAGCAGAGAAAGAGCAACAAAGAAACATGCTGTGGCCTGACAACAAAAGCATCCAAAAAATGTCAGACCCAGAAATATGAGACGTTTTGCCATTTCCCAATACCCTACACTATTTGGTGTCTCTGAATATTTGAACACTCTGCTATACCTTCTGAGAACCCTGCCCTTCTCTAGAAGTGTTGCTTGCTTTGTTGCTCCACAAACAAGACCACTACTCTCCAGTCCATTCCGACCCAGATGACCAGTCACCTCCTTCCTGTTGCTCTCTTGAATGAGCTGCTCAAGTCTTTGTTCCCAAAGCCGTCTGCTTTCCCACCTCGCTGCAGCCTTCGTCACCTGGTATGGTGGTCATATTTCTTTCACCTTAAAATCTAGAAAGAACTCAGTTGAGAAGGATGTTTCTTAATATCAATTATCAATGGACACTACAGGGTGTGGTCCACAGATATTTCCGGAATGACAGTGACCAGGCTTTCAGACCGACGCGCCGTTAACATAATTTCCACAAAGTGAAGTTTGAATTCATTGCGCAGTAGGGGGCGCTGTGGGATTTCCCCAGGTCTGCACAGTGGGTGCCCTCTGCTGTGTAATCCCTCACACTCTCCAGGGCTGGGGCTGTTTGCTGGTGGAGACTCAGCTGCTGTGTCCTCTCTGGGCTGGGCAGGGTCTCCTGCTCAATGGTCTGTGTCAGGTCCCAGCAGCTGCTTCCTCCCTAGTCACTCCCATGGGGCAGGCTCTGAGTCTCACCCATCAGCCCCTCTGTCTAAAGAACCAAGTGCAGACCTCAGCTGGTCCTCAGGGTGGAACAGAGGTCTCCGGTGTGGGAAACAAATTTACATGAGTAGCGCCTCCTCCCTGAGGCCACTGAAGGAGATAAGAGATGTCTGGGCAGCCCAGCTCCAGTTCAGGTGTCTCAGGAGGGCTGCGTTCACCATGGCCTGGACTCCTCTCCTCCTCATGCTCCTGTCTCACTGCACAGGTGGGGACATTCCTCAGAGACACAGAGCAGCCCCATAGTCTATGTTAGCCTCTCTGGCTCAGAATCTCAGGCAACTCAACTGTAGTCCCGGCCCCAGCACCCATATGTGTCTATGTTTGCAGGTGCCCTCTCCCAGCCTGTGCTGACTCAGCCATCCTCCCTCTCCTCATATCTGGGAGCATCAGCCAGACTCACCTGCACCCTGAACAGTGGCTTCAATGTTGGTAATTTCTGGATACGTTGGTACCAGCAGAAGCCAGGGAACCCTCCCAGGTATCTTCTTACTTTCCACTCAGATTCAGACAAGCACCAGGGCTCTGGAGTCCCCAGCAGATTGTCTGGATCCAATGATGCATCAACTAATGCTGGAACTTTGCTCATCTCTGGACTCCAGCCTGAGGACGAGGCCGACTATTACTGTGCTACATATCACGGCAACTCAAAGGCTTTCACAGTGCTCCAGACCATGGGGAAGTGAGACAAAAACCTCCCCACTGCTCTGCTCTGCTCACAAAGGAAGCCTGGAAGTTTCTTCCACCTCCCCCAGCATTGGGTGGGCCCTCAGAACTGCACAGACAGAACCTCTCAGACATCCCTCAGTCCTGGGCCAGAGACCCTCAGGTTGTGGCCACATCAGGGTCAGAAGAGACCTTGGCCCACAGGTCCTATCCCCTTGACTCCCCAGGTTCACTTCCTAGCTCCAAAAAGGCCTTAATCTTTAAGTCCTCACCTGTGAAAGGGAGATCAGGACATTGTCTGCTTCATAGGGTTGGGAGAGGATTAAATGAAGTCACAGATATGAACTCATTGCAGTGTGCGGCCCAGACCAGCTGCTGTGATCACCGTCACCACTAATTCAGCGTAGTCTAGGATCAGATGCTCCCAGAATGTTCTCTTCCTATTCCCAGACTCCTGCTCCTCCCCTGCTCCCCATTCTCAAGACTCACCCATCAAGAGAGGGAATTTAAAGAGAACTTGTTTTTCACTTGGAACACCTGGATCTTTCAAATACTAGACATGTATCATGGACCTGCTTCTGAATTTCCCAGTGTGTCAGTGTCATTGTCTGTAGCGTGGACACAAAGTACCCACCTGATCAACCTGGTGGGTAGAGTGCCTGGGATGAGGTACACAGAGTAGTGACAAGAATGGTCAGTGCTGTCTTCCCTTCATGACCTCAAATGTCCACTGAACAGTGCTCTTAACTTGAGCCAGCCCTGGCTCCACTATCCAGAGAGCCTGGAAGAGACACCTCCCAATCATACAGACACTTTGGACTCAAGGAAAGAGTCCCAGACCAGGTGGGAGAGGGCGGCAGAGTGTGGGTGCAGCAGGTTGGGGTGCGTGCTGCTGGGTGTTCTCTGTGCTTCACCTGCAGTGTGCACCTGGCGTGACGGGTTTCTCACCCCCAAGGACGACTGTGGGAACTGCAACCTGTTGATGAGAATTATGACCCAGAGGCTCTAAAGAGAAGAGGGCACCAGTGTGATTTCAGGGTTCCCGGCAGTATTTCCAAGGCTTAGAAATGGAACCTACAATGGTGAATCCTGATTAGAAAATCCAAAGACCCCCCCCTCCAAATTATAGATTTTCTCAACAGCTGCACTGGCTTGTCCCAGAAAGAGTGTGAAGATGCCCTGCAACAAACGGAGTGCTGATAGCCTGGTCTTGTGGGGTTATGTGGAGTGGGCAATTATGCACAGGGGGAAATCTTGTTCCCTGACCTTCACTTCCTTGTGACTGTGACCTCTCAAGGTCTTTGTGGGAACAGAGTACAGGCTTCCCTTGGGCCACCATTTATCACAGATTGCTCCACAGAATAGAACCCTGCAAAGGGCCAGAAAAAGCAGAGAGTAGGACAGAGATTTGGGTAAAGGGCTGTGTATGATTTACGGTTCTCTTGAGAGACAGAGCCAATGGGATGCAACTCTATCTATCCATCCATCCTCAAGTGGGTTGGGCTGTGGACAAAGTGAGCAGGGACCCCAAATCTCACCTCTCCCTATTTTTTATATCTTTTAGGTTTCTGTTTCTTTCTAGGCTCTGCGGACACATCCATCCATGATGTTGGAGTGAGATCTCAAAAACAAGTTCATTTATAGCAGAAGAAGAGCAACATATAAATGAACAAGAAAAGCTTGCTATGGCCTGGCAAGAAAAGCATCAAGGCAAGAGTCCTGAACATGTGGACTGGGGAGGTCTTGACTCAGTGCCATCTGAGACGGAAACTCTGGCTTCAGGTTGGCCAATGGATGGTTCCTGAGGGTCACTTAGACCCTGTCCTACAAAAAAGCTGGTCATTAGGACCAGACATGGGATGATCTTGACACAGAGTTCCAGACCCTGGAGGTCTAGAGACTCAGCCATCCCCTGTCCTCCCACTGTCAGACTATAAACGTTGGTTGCCTGTGTCTAACATTACATCAAGGGTGACCTTGCTCCTAACTATGCCACCACCACCTGAGGACCTGAAGACTTTTCAAGGACTTGTGGCTTTGAGGGTGGCTGGACCATTTCTCACCCTCATCACTGCTCCACAGGCAGAAACTTTATCTTCAGGACACAGAATCCTTCAGGGCAATTGATAGAAGGGCCAGAGGGAGGCTGACACCGGCCGTGCCCAGCACCGGAGTTAAAAACTACTGGAATAGACCATAGGTCATCCATTCATCCAGTACCTGGTCTTCATCTGTTAAGAACCCAAAGCTATAACTACTTTCTCTTGTCTGTACTTAAACCCTTCCTGGTGGCCCTCTTCCTGTCCTCCTGAGGCCACAAGCCTTCACCAACTATTCTGGTCTCCTGGGCCTGACCCACACCTCTGGGTTAACATGTTCCTTGTAAGCTCCCCGCCCTTAGATGGCAGGCTTCCTTGTGAAGACTGGCCCTCCTGCAGACACAGGAAACCAGGGGTGAGGCTACTCTGAGTGTTGGCTGGAGGGAAAGTAGGGAACTGTGATGACTGCGGATCCACGTCCTTAGTACCGTGTATCCCTGATCTCTGGGCTGCCAGGATTGCAGATGTGTGGTTCTTTAACTAGATCAGGAGAACTATGCTACGGTTCATGAGGGCAAAAAGGAGACAACAGTCCCCGTTTTCTTATCATTCAACCAAGGCACTGGCCTCAGGGCTTTCAGTTCCCGGGAAGATTCTAGAAATGGAAGGTGAAGGCTGTATAGCAGGAGTTGGGAATCAAACGTGAGAATCAGTAAATGTTAAGCTTTATAATAAGTCAAAGAGAAATAAAAGGGAGGATCAGTCATGAGGGCAAAGTGAATGAATTTGTTTCAAAAACCACCTTTTTTTTGGCTCCTTTCTCAATGCATAAGATTTGCGTAGAAAAACACACTTTCCATTTTCAATAAATGCTTTAGAAGCTGCCACTTAAATTCTATCACCATTTCTGCCTTTATAAAAATAAATATAGAAATGAAGAAATACAGGAAACTTCCTTAATGGCTTAATGGTTATGTATCTTTAAACTGGAGAAGAGCATTGTTCCTCCAGGCGAAATGCTAGAACTGTTTCCATTTTAATCTGACCACACATGATGGCTGCCGGCCTCTCCTGCAAAAGATTTTAACCTGGGATTTGCATCAAATCAATAAAAGAAGTAAAAAAATATGAGCATATTTTAAAACAAAGAATCAATTTACATAGAAGCCTAGAGATTGTACCGAACATTCATTGGAATGAATATAAACATTTTCAAATTCTCAATTAATACAAATACTATATAATTTTAAAATTATATAAATTTAAAAGTACTTCAAAGTGTATGTTGTTCTGGTCCCAGTATTAAAAAAAAAGTAGAAACTTTGACCATATATGCAGGAAAACAAATAAAAATTCAGCAAGGAACATAAAGGAAAATTTGAACAAGGGGTAAAATATTTTCTCACAGGAAAACACTGAGTAAAAATGTCAGAAGTGAGTAGATAGGTTATACAAGCACTTTTATTATTTATATTATTGCTTATTTATACGTTTTCCCTTGAGAAGGTGCGTAGGTGGGTGTAAGCAGAGGTGACAGTGCAGAGCCCTCCGATGTCAGAAGGAGGGATGGGTAAGTGATCAATGTCAGTAACTGACACCACGCAGGGGTTACTGTACCTTCTGGAATGTAAGTCCTAATAAAATTTTATTGTATTTTAAAATTTATATTTTGTATGAATAATTATTGATTATCATCTTGTATACAGAAAATCTTTTCAAACATAATATCTGTTTATCAAATTCAAAAACTGTAAGTTTAACTTAGAGGGAAGATCCACCCTCATTACTCAGGACTGAAGGGTGTCCTGGAACATGGGACTTCCAGTGGTGAAACCAGGAACATCCAGGGTAAACAGGGATGAGTTATTTACTATATTATAATTGAACATGTGTAATAGGTCTTCAAAATGCTTTTCCATAAATTTCACTTCTGGATGGTGGAATAATTTATCTGCTGAGAATGATAAGGTAGGTGACATATTACAAGTTACAATTAGTAAGTTATAATTCAAATTACATGATCATCTTTATGGGACATGAGAAAGATGCCAATATAATGAAAACTGAATTGGGCTAGTGATCTGTGGGGAGAGCTATTACGCTCATCTCTGCAGGTGCTTATGCACGATGAGAATTTCCTGAATGAAAACTTTGCACCATCAGAGAGCCACTGTCCAGGTCTGAGAAAAGAGCAGAGATGTGGTGGATTAGATGGATTATGGAAGCCAAGTGAGTAACTAGAATAGACCTTAGGAATTTTATTAAAAAATGTGTAGGATGCCTGAGTTTTAACCTGGCAGAGTGGAGAGACCTTGTATAGCACATGGACTAAACTAGTAATAGAGCTAAACTAGTCATTTAGTAACTCTCATTCATTTCTGGTAGTCATGGAAAATGGTATTGGCCAACTATGGAAGACAGACGAGATTTTTAGAAAGCTAAGCATACTCTCACCGTACGATCCAGCAGTTGAATTAGGCGTTTATCTACATGAGTTGAAAAGGTGTGTCCACACAAGAAGCTGCACACAAATGTTTACAGCAGCTTTATTCATAGTTGTTACAATCTGGAATCAAGCAAAATGGCCTCCAGTAGCTGAATGGATAAACAAACTGTGGTACATCCACCCAATGGGACATTATTCAGTGATTAAAAATAAATGAGCTATTGGGCCACAAAAAGAAAGGGCGATACAAAAAGTAAATGCATATTACTAAGTGAAAGAAGCCAAATCTGTAAAAAGTAAAATACAGTTACTGTGTGATTCCAACAATATGATACTATGGAAAAGGCACATTTACTGTCTAGAGACAGTAAAATGATCTAGAGTTGCCAGGAGTTCAGGGATAGGAAAAGAGGGCTGAACAGGTGGAGCAAAAGGGATGTTTAGAGCAGCGAAAATATTCTGTATGTTAATGGGATGGTGGTTAGGTGACATTACGCACTTGGTAAAATCCATAAAACAGTGTGACACCAAGAGCGAACTCCAATGGAGTTTAGTTGATAATAATGTATCAGTATTGGTTTATGCAGTTTTACCAGTTGCCCGAAACCAATGCAAGATGTTAAAATGGTGGAAATGTGGAGGGAGTAGGAGGAATATGTGGGAATGCTCTATAGAACTGGATTTTTATCTGAAGGAATTACACATCTCCTTGTAATTAAAACCCAGACCAAAATTATGTCAACTGTGTATTTACAGCTCTACCCCTGCTCGTGGTTTCCAGCCCCGAAGAGGTGAAAAACTAAAGAATGAGGTGGCGGGGGTGGGGGGTGGGGG